ATTTTTTTAAAATTCCAGCCAACAGGAGACACAGTTCTAGATGCTGACCCATTATGGATCTTATTCAGGTAAGTAAAAGTGATATACATATGGTCGGATAAAGTCTCCATATCACTCATTACTCGCCAATCATCTATATCCTTAAACATACTATGCGAGGCCCATGTGAGATCCACAACTGATTCACCTTGCGGACGAACGCAAGTCGGCGAATCACCTACATTAACCAAGAACAAACCGTTTGATGATGTTACAAGGTTGACCAGTGTACCCCTTCTATCGGTGGTTTTGGATCCCCAAAGATACGACCTAGCATTGAAGTCTCCACAAACAAGGACTTTTTTGTAACGTAATCGTTTGATGGTATCATCCAGATTATCAATGAAATCACCAAAGACATCTCTCGAGCTATTAGGTGATATATAGCAAGACACAATATAAAAATCATTATATTCCACAACGACAATATTTTCGAGGGCTACAAATAGTCTGCTTCTAATACTAGTGTCAGGAAACAGCATCACAGCAGCCAGTGCATCCTTACTATAAAAGCAATTTGCAAGTATATTAGTTCCAACAGGAGGCTCCGAAATAGCCACTAGATCAATATTTAGCTCAATGCACTGCTGGCGTAGCAAATCAAATGCCAGCCAGGACCTATTAAGGTTACATTGCAGAATTTTAGTGGCCATAATTATGAGACTGCTCGGATTGTCCACGATCCACCCGTCTCACAGATTCGTAGCCATTGTTTATGAGGCAAGCATATGATCCCATACGGTGACTGCTAGTTTTCCCTGCAGATGAACAGATGACGCAGTGTGGGGCAGCAGAACACTCCTTAGCCTTGTGCTCATTGCTACCACATTTAAAACAACAACCGTATCTATCCTCCGAGGCAGCACAATTGGACCTGACGTGCCCAAATTGCCAACACTTGTAACACTGAACAGGGCGCTTTCTCAATAGTTCAATTTTCGCAAAAGTCCATCCAATGCGCAATCGGCCAGTTTCCGCAATAGGAATTGCCGCGTTTAGGGGGCACTGAACCCACGCAATTCCCATACCATCCCGCATCTTTTTAATGTCACTTATATTAAAAGCCATTGATGTAAAACCACTAATTTGAACCAGGTGATCCCTAATCTCCTCCGTGGAAGTAGAAGGAGCGAGACCAGAAATTTTCAGTTCTCCTCGCGCAACAGGATTATCCACCTTGGCCACATCGCGTAGCACAACCTCTAATCTGTCTTTGAGCTTACCAGCCAATTCAAGGCCTCCTTCACCAGGGACCTCGATCTTATATCCGCCATTAAAGGCTTTACGGATCCTGGTTTCGCTAATTCCCAGGCCTTCAAGAGACACATTCTGCCTTGCGGCTTTAAGAATATCCGCACATGAGGTATCTACACCAGGCTTACAAGTAATGGTGACAACGGCCACCTTACGCTTACCTACTTTAGGTTTATTAACACTAACCTTACTACTTTTGTTAATAGGTCAAATCCCGGATGTGCCATCGTGAGATCCACCAGAACTCTGACGTATCACAGAAGAAGGAGAAGGAAGAGAAGGAAAATCCTCCTCTTTCCTAGCCATCGACATCCTTGGAGTGGGTTGACTCCTTATCTTCCTCGGCGGGACAACCTGCTTGTTCTCAATTATCTTAATACCCTTGAGTCTCGGGTTACTCATAGGGGGGTGAAAAATCTTGTCGTCCTCAATTGCTCTTTTATCAACACCTGTATTACGAAAAACCCTAGATGTAATGTAAGTCTTTTCACATAGGTTAGCAGATCTGGGCGGGCTCCAGGCCGACCCAGCCGACTCCAAGGCCCATTCCATAGCATCACGAACAATCTTGGATTCATCATCACGAGAAGTAGCAGGGGACTGAGCAACCATACTGGATTCATCATCACTCTAATCCGTGGTAAGTATCTTATTTCTATCTACTTTTTTAGATCTCAATATATCCTCACCTCTATTTTTACTCTTAAGCAAATTTACTTCTTTTTTAAGTTCATCAATCATATCTCTATGTTGTTTTAATTGCATCTTTATTTCTTCTTCGCGTCTACAGGATTCTGTTATTTCTTCCATTAATTCTTCATTTTTACAACGCAGATGGGCTACATCGCCCTGAGCCTGTATCTTATGACCATATGCCCTGACAACATCCTCCAGCTGCATCATGTATTTTCGCCATAAGCCGTTAAACTTACCGGAAACGTTCGTACTATTTACTCGCAGGCTATCTGTTTTGCTGATCAAGGACAGACCATACGACGCCACCTGTCCATTACTCATAGCAACTAAATCTCTTACCTTTATCCTAATGGAAACATCTGAATCACATGTAAACATGGAATCAGACGCATCCAAGTCAACGTTCGGACTTTTTTCTTTACTTGACCTTAACCTAGCAGTCAAAGTACTTTTCTTTTTGTTCTTGGTTAGTTTCCTGGGCACATCAGTTCCTTCACCAGCAGATATATCCAATGCCGCCACAACATCATTATCATCATCAGATATAATCACAGGGCTCGACTCAAGTATAATTTCCTTGTCACCCGCTGCAGCAATTCTTTTACTTCGCCTCCTAGCCTTGATATTGCTCCTCCTCTTTCGTAAAACTCTATCCTCATCATCAGCATCTTCATCCGCATCCTTGCTAGTAGAGGGTACAGCATGATCATCCTCTTTTTCATCTGAATCCTGTTCAGAACTATCAATCAGTCTGATTTTACGAATCCTTTTATCAGTTGTAATTGTGTCATCTTCCGGCGATCCATCAGCCTTTCGCTTAGAGACAGTATATTCAGCTGACGCAACACAATTATCTGCCTCAATAGAGGGTGATTTAAACTTGTCACCAACAATTTCTAATGACTCACTTCTAGCAACGTTCAAAGGATCGCTATTTGGATCGTCACACTCAGGAGGGTCGCATGGGGCATCAACATCCGCCATAACAACCTCCATGTGTTCATAGTTGACTTCACCAGGAAGATTATCTAAATCCGTGGTCGCTATATCAACCTGCTCGCCCAACGGCAACGAGCAGGCCAGCCCCTTGTTTGATGACGACAAGGCGGAGCCGGGGACAACAACTCCGCCATGCCGATCGCTGGAGGCTCCGACAACCTCCTGCGACAGTAAGTTCATTTCATTTACCGTTGTGTTTGCCATGTTTTCATATAAAGGATTTGGTTTTTCCAAGAGTGTCCTTCCCTTGTGATCATGAACCATAGGATTACCAAGTTGACTTAAGTATAATCCATCCAGCGTATTTCTATCTTCATAAATCATTGAGGAGGAAATTGCATAAAATTCCTCACTCAGCTTTTCCAACTCAGCTTTCTTGTCACTAATAGAGTGACCTACATGTATTAAAGCGTCTTCCGTTTTGTTCATCTGTATCATCCTAGCCAAATCCGTAAGCTGAGATTCCACCGAATCAATCATAGATTGACTTAAAGGAGCCATCTCGCTCAGGCCAGATGAAGTATTGTTTAGTCTGCGCATGCTCACCTCTTTAACATCAGTGTTTGGAGGAGAAACCATCCGGACAGTATTGTCAAAGTTCATATCTTTAAAAAGTGATTCGTACCTAGCAACTCTACCCAAAAGATACGACCGGGCACAAACATTTTATAACCTTGACTGTATATGCTTTTAATGCATGCTTCAATATTATTGAGCTCTACATATAGCTCCGAGCGATTTGGGAGACTACTATTACGCAATCTATTAATGGAGCCTAATGCACACCCTAAAAACATCGTAGGTGTGAAAGAGGCCTCATTCAGCCGTGCTATTATATCGTCAACTGACTCCATTTTAGTAAATGTATGTATATATAATACTAATCAACGCAATGTAATGTCAGTAATGTGAAAAATGTTTTAATTGATAATCTGCAAAAATTCCATTAATGTTACTAACACAACAACCAGGATCAATGCAGTAATTCAACTCATTTATCAAATATTATTAATTAATAGCGTGTAACACAAACAGCAATCTTCCAGACCTCAAAGTTACTTGAGGAGGAGATGCCGCAATATCTGTAGAGATGTTTCTCGACGCTTATAGTATCATAAATCGCTTACGTTCACCTATTGATTAAAACAGAACGCAAGCAATAACAACATCAGTCACTCAATATACGCTACCAATACTCTTCTATGTCATTAGTCCAATTATGCATAAAATACACACAAAGTACAAAGTATATATTTGATTTAGTAAATTTTACCAAATTGTTCAATAGTCAATGTCTTTTTGTTTAAATAACACCTTATTATTTAATAAATAAGAGAGAAACTTAAAATTGTCCAATTTATCAAGTCTCCCCTATATCTAGTAACTTTAGTAACGCGAAGAGGCATATCAAGTTTCACATCTATATCATAATCACTCAATATACGCTACCAATACTGTCATACATCAATAGTCCAGTTATATATAAAAGTACAAACAAAATACAAGATATATATTTAATTTAATAAATTTTACCAAATTATTCAATAAACAGTGTCTTTTTGTTTAAATAGCACCCCATTATTGAGCGATTAAGAGAGAAACTTAAAACTGTCCAACTATGAGGTCTCCTCTATATCTAGTAATTTTAACGCGAAGAGGCACATCGAGTTTCATATCTATATTATAATACAATCACTCAATATACGCTGCCAATACTTTCATATATCAATAGTCCAGTTATATATAAAAGTACACACAAAGTACAAAATATATATTTAATTTAGTAAAGTTTACCAAATTGTTCAATAAACAATGTCTTTTTGTTTAAATAACACCTTATTATTCAATAAATAAGAGAGAAATTCGAATCTGTCCAATTTTCAAGTTTCCCCTATATCTAGTAACTTTTATAACGCGAAGAGGCACATCGAGTTTCACATCTATATCACAGTTCATGATTGTTTGGAACTTTGGCAACCGAGTACAGCCATTCACTCAGAGATGGCGCGTCGATGTCCCTTTGCATCTTAAACTCAATTTCCCGAGAGAAAACATTCTCCGAGAGAGACATAACCCCAATTGTTACAATATGTCATTTTGACAACACAAGCAGTCAGATATGTATGTATCACAATTCAAGGTTTATAAATTACGTCAAACAGTCTAAAGCAGGTATATAATAATAAAAATATTAATAAATCATATTTAATTGAATAGATATTTAATATCTATAAATATTGTTATCAGAAGAGAATCATGTAACAATAATCATTTATATATGTTTATCATATGCATTTCCTAGGATTCAGATGCATATTTAGGATGCAATGACAAGGGAAGCATCCCATCCATATGCCATAAGGACAGCTCATATAACCTCAAAGAGGACATCACTCACCGCCGCAATACTAATGTCAAAAGTCTGTTATTACAGGAAAGATTATAAATTTTTGTATATTCAAGATGTATGCACAGAATGATATAAATTCTAATTAGAAGGTATTAACTTTGCATCAGGTAATTATTATAATTGACATCATGCTAAAAACAACTTTTAGCTTCCAATATCATATAGTTACGTAGTTTAGTATATGTAATTACTATTATTGATAGAGAGTCATTTATTATTTAATTATTTATTTAATTATATGTTTACCATGCACGCACCAAGAGTCAAAAGCATGGAATATCACTGGTTAGCTCGACAAGAGAAAAAGTCACAAGATTAATAGCACTGAGATATAAAACGTAATTACAGAAAATATTACTCAAGAGTTAATGTGTATTTAATAATTGTTATAATTATCAAATTGTCTTTTACTATATGTATTAAACGTATTACCCCGAAAAAAGCTTTATTAAGACTATTATTAACGTTAAACTAAATATTAAAGTTTATAATATCTAAAGATATAGCTTATAGTCATTGTACAATTAAAGGCAACTTCTGTGTATCTCAGCACATATTTCTTTTTGTTCACTACACATATAACTAATTATTCCACTTATCTTAGGTGATGACAGCATCCTCCCCCCTGGCTGTCACACGGTGTGTTACGCGGATGACACACTGGTGATGGTCGGGGGGACCTCGTGGGAAGACGCGACCGCTCGGACGAACATAGCGATCAACCGCGTCGTGCGCTACGTAAGGAGGATGGGACTCAAAGTGGCGCCCCAGAAAACCGAGGCCATCTTTTTGCATGATGGCTCTCACGGGGCGCCGCCGAGAGTCCACATCACAGTGGAGGACACCCCAATAGAGGTGGGGGCCTGCATGAAATATCTGAGCCTCCACCTTGACAATAAGTGGACCTTCCAAGAACACTTCCGCCGCATATCCCCCAAAGTGAAGAGGGCAGCAATGGCACTACAACGCCTGCTGCCCAATCTCGGGGGACCTGGCGGAAGTGTAAGGAAGTTGTACGCCGGGACTGTACACGCCATGCTGCTGTACGGGGCCCCAGTATGGTCGAAATGCCTGGGGGCTGCCCGCGGTCCCAGAGATGCACTGAGACAGGTGCAGAAGCGGGTAGCCAACAGGATATGCAGGGGCTACCGTACGGTCAGCTGGGCGGCGACGGGGGTGCTCTCCGGAGTGCCCCCCGTTGAGATGCTCGCCCGCATGTATGCTGAGGTGTACACGCGCACGCGTGGATACCAGCGGGCGGGCATCACTATGACGGAAAGTCTCCGGCGTACTGTGAGGGTCCACTCCCGACGGGCGCTGATCCAAAGTTGGAAGGAATTCCTGGCGGACCCAACACTGCCAGGACAGCGCACCGTCGGGGCCATACGGCCCTGTCTAGAAAACTGGCTAGACAGGGCCAAAGGTGGGGTGTCCTACCACATGACGCAGGTGCTCACCGGACATGGGTGTTTCGGTGAGTACCTGCACAGGATTGGTAAAGAGCGCACGACGCGGTGCCATCACTGCGGCCACGAGCGCGACACCGCCCAGCATACACTCGCTGAGTGTGTTGCCTGGGCGGGAGAGAGAGAGAGGCTCGTGGCCGCGGTGGGGAGGGATCTGTCATTGCCCTCGGTAGTGAGGGCAATGACAGACAATGAGGACGCATGGAGGACGTTCTCCTCCTTCTGCGGCGAAGTCATGCTGCAGAAGGAGGAGGCGGAGAGGGAGAGAGAGAGAATGGGGGAGGAGAGAGAGGAGGAGGGCGGGGACGTCCCCCCTCTTTCCCCGGCATCGGCGGGTCCGCTTGTTTGTGGCGCCGGGGATCGGAGAGGGGGCGCCCCTGGTGGGCGTGGAAGAAAGGGAGGAAGAAGAAGAAGAAACCAAACAGACGGGGGGGTGTGCCTCCTTCCCCTCCTCCGCCGTCGGCGGGTCCGCCCGCCGGGGGTGGTGGGGACCGGGGGGGGTACGACCTCCAAAGGAGGAACGCACCCATGGGAGGAGGGGCCGGGCCCTCTCTTTCCGCGCCGCCGATGGGCTTGCCCGTTTGTAACGGCGTGGATCGGGGGGGGGGGGTCCGTCTCAAACATACCCGCGTCAATAATTGACGCGGGATGAGGGTTCCGGGGGGGGGCGGGGACAACTAAGTCCCAAGGGCCCTCCCCCCCGGGAGCCTCACGCGGGCCGGGCGCGTGGGTGCGTCACTCCACTATGGGGGGGCGCTCTATGTGCCCGGCTAGGGCAAACCCCTCCGGCCACGGCCGATCCCTGGCTCTCAAAGGAGCGGGGGGGGGGACGCGGCTGGGGGGGCCGGGGGGGGGCCACGCGTCCCCGACGGGCAGGCGCTGTCTGTCAGGCCGGGGCGCCTGGGTCCCCCTCTGTGAAGACGTGATGCGCGGGGCCCTCCCGCCGGGAGCCAGGAGGCACCGGCGGGAGGGCAACGCCGTCCACGGAAGGGGGTTCCTCTCCTTCAGAGAGGAGCCCTCTGGTGAGGGCTCCCCTGGTGGAACGCCGAACCGGGTCACCCTCTAGGGAGTCCGGGGGTCGCGACCACCGGGGAGGCGGGGGGCGATGGCTCGAGTGGGAGTTCTCGAGCCATGGCTCCGCCCCCCAAACTCTTTGGGAGGGCGCGGTGTGGGGTCGGTGTCGCCCTGCGCCGCAACCGGGACGGAACCGCGCAGTCATTGACTGCGCGGTCGGGGAGGGGTCTTGGCCGCAAGGCTAAGGCAGCTCTCCGGAGATGGCTTGGCGGGGGAGCGGCGGGACGGCATGGGATTTCAGCATCCTCGCCGTCCTCTATCCAACGCCCGAGATGGACACCCGCTGGGGTTTTAGTGAGGTAGGTCTTGGGCCCCCTGGTCGAACCATTCGTGGCTCGACCAAGGGGAACAAGGAGTCCCACATAACCCACACCCCTACCCGGGGGTGTGTGGTAGCATGACCGTTTCCCCAGCGTCACAAAAAAAAAGGTGATGACAGCATCCGGATGGAAGTGTCCCACAAAGAATTCTCAGGAGTCTCTAAAGAATCCCCAGGAACATGATACAGTCAGTAGGAAGCCAATTGCCAACGCAGGTCTAGAAACATCCGCAGAGCATTTCTCCAACTTAAGGCGATGTATGCACATTCATCAAAGCACCAAAATTTACACATTTATAATTGTGAGTTTATTTGATTTGGCGTTAATTAACTATTTGTATCTTGAGTAACACACTATTATAAAGTTACCTAATTTAAATGATATATTAAATTAACTTTATCTTAGTCTCAAATAGTTTCAAATTTCAATATTATCATATTATTAAGATCAATCATTAGTGTTTGAAAGAATTGAAATAAATGTAATTGTCACAATAATTTAGATAGTAGATCACTTTAATTTTGACAAAATAATAATAATCAATTATTAGATTATTCAAGATTGTCATATAAGTATGTTTATAACTTAGTATAAGTACTAAGTACTAAAATGTTTTAGATAACGTCAATATATATTTATCCATTGTTTATAATGGACAAATCATCATCATCTCATCACGATGCTACACAGTAAGGTCATAACTGACCCTAAATGACAAAAAACGTCTGAAATATGCAAGGATGAAATCAATCAACACATACGTTCCATATATGTATATGTGTGTAAGTATAAAATCTTTATACCTAAGTTCACTATTTTATCACCAAAAACTGAAAGTCACATGTAATTGTCTAGCTTAGAGATAAGGTACTAAATATTTGAATTTCCTGCTAATTACAGAATTACTGAAGATCATCTTATCAAGACTAATCAGCAAATTATAGTGTACAAAAGGATCAGATTAGTATATCACAATATAATTAGTTAATATTTCACTACAATTCTGACACAATAATCTTTTAATATTTGAGTATTCAACTATTATCATATAAGTCTATGAAAAGTCTGTCCATGATATAACACAAGTACTAAATACTAGATAATAAGTATTTAAATTATGTCCATATATATTCAATGCTCATTTAAGACCTAATAAGCAAATTCATTGTCCTTTCCAAGTCCTGCACAAAAAGACTATCAAACTGACCTTTAATGCAAAAGTCTAGTATCTAATTAATAATCCATAAGATTACTATTGTCTTTACAATATGAAAATGTATTTCACCATCACAGGCTATATTAACCTGTTATAACGATATCTAAATATTAAAGTTTATTAACAATATTCAAATATTGAAATTTACGATATCTAAAACAAGGATCTTTTAGTCATTGACAACTTGTATAGTGAAATAACTTTGCATATCTCAGCACATATTTCTACTTATTCACTACACACAATAACAATTGTTTCACTTATCTAGGTGATGACAACAACCAGATGGTAAATCGCCAGAAGTCTAATAAATCTCAGGAGCATTATACAAGCCATGAGTGATCATGATTTCCAAGAGGTCCATATCCACAACGTATTTCACCGACTTAAGATAATATATGCATATATATCAAAACACCAGTATGCACATATTAATTATTTTCATAACTGTAAGTCTACTGCATTAGCGTTCATTATTTATGTCTTGGATTATTATTAATAGAATAATACAATACAATGATTATTTCTTGTAACACATCACAGTGCAAATGTAAAAGTGGAAGAAAGACACCATTATTTTACTACTATTTCACATCTTATTGATTATCATTAATTAATTAACTAAAAGTCTAATCAATTTAAGTCACATACTAATCAGATATGTATATTTCAGTAAGTCTTTAATTTAGATGTTAAAAGAAAGTCACAGCTTTTTAGCCAGTACACTTATACATTCAAAGTAGTCTTTGTATCCAAAATTAGTTCATTAAATATTTAATAATAGTAATAGAATAATACAATGATTATTCATTATATCACAACACAGTATAGATGTAAAATAGAAAAAGTCACAACCATCTTATTATTATTACACAGTTTATTGTTTATCGTTACCTAATTAACTAAAGTCTATATAATTTAAAGTTAAATACTAATTCAATTTGTTTATTTCAGCAAATTCTGAAGAGAACGTGTTATATTGCAACAACAACCTCCTACATATGAGTCTTATTTCACTTGGAATACAGAATTTCATTTATCCGAACAGAACAATGATCAAGCTAAGTTTTCCATCACACTCCACATATAATTTTAACCAGAATTAGTTATATATAACATATCTGATATCAATAATACTGAATTAATGAAATAACGAAACTAATTGTTCAGTGATATTAACAATAGAATAATATAATAATTATTCCCTGTAACACATCACAGTTCAAATACAGAAGTAGAAGAAAAAGTCACAGCCATTTTACTACTAATTCACAGTTTATTAATTATCATTAATTAACAAACTAGAAGTCTATTCAATTTTAAAGACAGATACTAATCCGATTTATATATTTCAGTAAATCCTGAAGAGAGCATGTTGTATTGCAATTACAACTTTCAATGTTTAGATTAAAGGAAAGTCACAGTTATTTTGGTCGAAACATTATTCAATCAGTGCAGTCTTATATCCGAAATCAGACCATTAAATACAATAATAATGATTATTTATTATAACACATCACAATGCAGATGCAAAATAGAAGAAAGTCACGACTGTATTATTATTATTTCACAACTTATTGTTTATCATTGACTAATTAATTAAAATCTATTCAATTTAAAGTCAGATACTAATTTAACTGGTCTATTTCAGTAAGTTCGATATACCTAGTATTGTTAATATTAAATCATGTCCACAAGAAGTTCATCATACAGCAAATAACTATTTAACACCATATTCCAAATTAGAATAATAATATTGTTTTATTCAACAGGGTCCCATTCAGAGTCTAAAGATGACATCAGAGCAATCATCATCAATTTTAATACATCCGACTTAACGAAATACATATACCGTATAAATATACACATATGTAAATCTTGGAGTACGTAAACTATTATGTATTTTAGCATAATATTCTAACTACAAGAGATTAATGTAGTGAAAAGAACTGAATTAACACTAAAATTCCTTCTCTTATTTCAGATGAAAAGCGACAATATCCTCCTCCAGAAGAGCAACAAATATGACAGAAGCACTAATAGGACTTATCATTAGAAAGTTTCTTATACGATTATCAATCCAGACTAATTGAAGTAATTAATGCATATCAATGTCTATTATCACATTAATAATAAAGTCACTAATTATCAGACCAATAACTAATTGTTAAACCAATAACTATTTAATTAACCTAGTATTCTTATAAGGTATTCATATTCCTTAATTTGTCCATAAATCTTATATCTTATTAATTAATAATTAATATGGTCACTCATAACTGTGTCACTGATATTATTCAGTTGTTATATAAATCAAATTTCCGCGGTTTATTATAATGACCAATGACAGATTGACAGCAAGTATAAGCCAAGCTGCTAACCCACTTGAGCACGCGCGCACTGCGCAAAGCATGTGCGCCACGATGATCGACTGCCACGTGTTAATTACTTCAATACGCTTAATTAAGTCAAAATGTCAAAAATTTAATATAGTTCACCTAAAAGTATTTATATAATTATAAATCTATTGAACAGAAGGCATAGGAAGGCACTTATTATAACTTATCAAATATTTAAAAGTCAGAATTTAAATGAAATTTACTATAAGTTACAGCAAAAATAGTTCTTTATAATAATAAAAAATATAATCTTCTCAAAAATTATGTTTATAGCCAAAATAATTCTTTGCAAAAATTAATCATTATCAAAAATATTTTCTCAAAAATTATATTTATAAATTATATTTTATTTTTGTTAATAATACTAGAAAAAAATTAAAATATTAGCATCAAAAAGTAGTGAAATCAAAAAATTGCGCTAAATAATTATATTGATAATACGAGAAAAAAGGTTAAAATATTAGCATCAAAAAGTAGTCAAATCAAAAAGTTGCACTAAGTAAGTGACAACATAATATATAATATTTAGATAAATTTCCTATAATGATACAAATGTATAATTATTGCTTTATTTTAAAACGTTTATAATATATACAATAACAAAATAAATTCAGTAAAATATATATATATATATATATATATATACATAAATAACATGAATAATTATCTTTACTAAATTACATTAATTATTAATTAATTTAAACTGGAACTATACAGTTGTTATAAAATATAGATTAAATAGATATATATAATAAAGAAATTATTTAATAAATAATTCTCCCTCCAAAAATATCAAATACGCACAAAGAAAATTAAAAAAATTTAAAGTTAAATAAA